AATAATAATTTAGAAGAAGGTTTCATTGGGAGTTTGGTCAAACGCAGCCAGGAGGTGAACCATGCTGAAATGTGAATGTGCGCCTCACTGTTTATATTTGTGATTATAACACGTCTCTAACACAATGATAACATGAAAAGCCCTTCTGGTGGTAACACTTGTGACTCTGTAACATTACAACTGGTGAATACATAAATGTCTATCAGCCTTCTGCGTCTGTGAATTCGACTTTTTGTTCATTCGATGTAACAGAGTCAGTAATGGGAACAAAGAGTACATCTTCAGTTATTCTTTATTATTCTGTTTATTCAATTATCCACCCACACACATCTAGATCAAAAATATGTGACTCGATAAAACAGCAGTCTACGTTTATATTTTTGACGGCAAATTATATATGAGTCACAAGTCACCGCCTCAATATCTGTGCAACAGGTTGTTCTATCATCCTATCATTCACTTATCGATCTAAAGTATTTGGACACTTTAACTGTTTTATCACATCTCCGTGTTTTGCTTTTCCCACAGGGTAGATGTTGTCACCGAGACAGGAGACTGCCTGTCATCTGAAGACCATGCAAAGCATCTCTCATTATCCGCCACTTTATATTCATGACTTCATATTTATTATACACAAATAACACTCATATGCATCTTTTCAAAATAAGAGTATTGAGTGTTTTACTGAGCCCATCATTTTCTAGCAGTAGTAAACGTGTAGAGGATATAAATGTTGTCTTTAAAAATATTTTAGGGTTTAAATTATTTAACAGGAGACAAACAGCGTGCAGATCATTTTAATTTTTCTCAAATGGGTTTGTTCTTTCTTGTCTGGCATCTAAATATTTCTTCCTGTGCACACAGTTGCTTTTTTTGCAGCACTACTACAGACTACAGACAGGTATCAATTTTGTTTTTACTGCCGTTAACTGGCATGTTTGGTTTTGGCCATGGCCTTCATCTTTCTCTTTCACTTATATCGGACCCTCTCGTATGTTAAGCACTTTGGTATACCGCTGGTTTTTAAATGTGCTCTATAAATAAAGTTTGTTGTGGTTGTCTGTAAGGTGTTAAACTGATAGTTCTGTATATTTTTAGATGCAGCTCCTGATGCACTTGAGGAGAAGTGCATCAGGAGCTCTTCAACCATTCCAACTGTAAAAAGAGCAACTATGCCTTGGATTTATGTTTTGAGCACACTCAAAGCTCTTTCTACTATAAGTCTCATTCACACACACACATATATATTCATGCAACGTTTTATCCTTGGCTAAGTACTTTTTTCAACATTCACACTATGATAGATGCATGAGTGGCAGCATATCGGTATCTTGCATATGGATACTTTGATGACCAATGTACCACCAACCTTTTAGCTGTTAGACAACCCTCTCTGCCACCTCAGCTACAGCGTACACCCTATATTTATCTTGAACAAATCTAGTACACATTGGGATGATGCGCACATTAGTTATTAAGAATAAGGGAATTATAAGGAATTATACATACAGGAGCTGCTTAGCCTTGGAAACCCATGGCACGAGTCTCCTGGTGCACAGTTTTCATGCTGATGTTAATACCAGAGGACGTTTGAACTGCAGTGCGCTGACTACTTTAACGCACGATGCGCCTCAGCCCTCTTGTGCACTTCACGGCTGAGTGCTTGTGGTCCCTAAATGCTTCCACTTTGCAATAACACCACTCACACGTCATTATGGAATGATAGGAGGGAAGAAATTTGATAAACGGTCATGCTATTACAGTGAACCTTTCAGGAGGACCCCTTTCTTCACAAACATTTATAAAGGCAGAGCACGGCTTCGTGCT